CTGACTGAAGAGATTTCTCCTCATATGTACAACTCACTCCAGATAAGATTCTGAATAATTTGATTGATAAGAATCCTACTGAAAAATTGTATTGTTCATTGTCGCCTAACTGACATTATGCATCTCAATCATTCGTTTAATAAATTGTAAGCTTTTAAAGCAACTCGAGGCCGAATATTATTCATTTTCACCGCAATGGACAATTGAATTCTATTACTAATGTATGAAATAAAACACCGTTATTTCTCATTGCATTAACATAGCAAAACTAGTCCGACTGATCGAAGCCGTCAAATTCCACGACTTGATATCTGTTAATCATAATTAATACATCCACATGGAGCTACCACACTCGCTTCATGCAGATTTCTCAAAATGTTATCACTATATAATGTTTTCATTCATTCTATATTCACATTGAACATCACTGTGCGATGAACACAATTCCCAAATAATCGAAATTTATTTTTTCATAAAAATCATCAGCATACACGCAATCTGCTAAATGTATAAGACCACTTCGATGAAGATCTAAAAAATAATCTACTAAAAACACGATGGTTAGATAGTGTGCATGAAAATATCAAATGAATCGAGCAAACTTATATATTTATTTCTAACAAATGTACAATATGAAAGCAAAACAATATGAATTCAATAAACTGCACTTGCCCGTAAGCATATAACAATAAACTGGAAAAATGTCACGTATGATTGCTGCGAGCACCACTAAAACCGAAAACATCCCAAAATTGTGAATCCTTTTTACAACGGGTTTCAGAAGTCGATGACTTCCCAAAGTGGCTCCAAAATATAATCATCGAATGAGCTGCGCTACGGTCCAATGATCTGACGAAGTAGCCAGTCGTTAACGTCGAAAATGACGTTCAGTGATAGAGAAAAGTTAGCACACTTCATTTTCCAGTAACGAATTTTCGAGGTTGTTGATTAGATAAAATTACCTAATTGTAAGTGAACAAATATCAGAATCACTCCAAACGGTTATCATCATCGATGAAAACGTTTCACACGCAATACGATACAATACAATCCACAAAATTCATCAATAACAACTGATTCTATAGAGCCGTTTGGATCTAAACAAATGCAAGCCGTGGCACGGCTCTGTGAGAAGCATTTCCATTGCAACCAAGACTTCTGGTAAACCTGGTAAACCCACATCTCTGGATAATCACATCAGTGAATCACACACGAATCCAGACGGCTATTGCCTCACTCGTTAACTCCGTTTAAGGGGCAATATTTTCGTAATGTTTATAAGCCTTCTTACTGACTTGCACAAGCATTGCACCCAACTGTCGTCCTGGACCTATTTCCATATATGTTGGAAATTTGTAGTCCTGAAAATCGAATAGAAGACAGTAATAACATCAAACAACATCAGTCAAAAACAAAAATCTTCTACGAATCCATCAAATTTTCATTCATTTCTTCTCAAAATTCAACTGTGTTAACTGAATCCAGTTGAAGATTCACAAAGAAAATTCATAGAGATGGCCACGAATACGCAATCAAACCTGATGTTTTCGGTAGAGCAATTGTAGGATTTGTTCCCATTTGACTGGCGATGAAATCTGCTTGATTAAATTATCACGGATTCGAGCCAATTTCCGCCCATAAATTTTCCCTGTGTAATTCGCATAAATATTCACTCGCGGGGCCGACAGCTCAACTCCTGAAATTATTCTCATTCGGGGTATCATTTGCTAATTCTCTATCCAGATTTCCTTCTCGTGAGATATTCATTCCAATTTGTTAATTTGAACGACGTTGTTTCGATAAAACATAAAAAAAGTCGATTTCCAACAATGAAAATCTCCTTCACAATAATAAAAAATGTAGAGGTCTTCCATAATAGATTTCCAAAATTACAAATGGTAAATTTTCGATGAGAAATTGAGTTAAACAAGAAAGTTACCTCTCAGTGCATCTCGCATTGGCTCTATAGCAT